TCTTCTGCTTGTGAGGCAGGCGGTGGAACCACTGAGCTAAATCCCTGGCCCTATGTATTTATTTTTTAATATTTATTTATTTATTTATTTATTTTGATATCAGGGATCGAACTCGGGTCCTTGCGCTTGCCCAGCAGGCGGCGAAACCACTGAGCTAAATCCCCGGCCCTATCCATTTATTTTTTGATGGACACATAGGTCAGTTCTAAGATTTAGCTATTATAGCAGTATAGCAGGGACTGGTGACTTAGGCCTAATCCCAGTGCTCAGGAGGCTAAGGAGTATGATCGTAAATTTGAGACTTGTTTCATAAAATATTAGCTATTATGAGTTGTGCTGCTATAAATACGGGTATGCATGTATCAGTGTAATATGTCTTTAACTCTTTGGAGACGATTCCTAGAAGGGAAATAGCTGGGTCAAGTGGAATTTCTAGTTTTAGTTTTTTAAGGAATCTCCATACTGATTTCCATAGTGGTTGTACTAGTTTACATTCCCACCGACAGTGTAGAAGTGTTCCTTTTTCCCTGAAGCCTCATGAGCATTTGTTGTTTGATTTCTTGATGATGGCCATTCTTTCTGGGTAGATGTGAGAAAGAAAGCTTCCGTCTGTTTTTTCCTTTTTTGATGCCGGGGATTGAACTCAGGTCCTTGCGCTTGTGTAGCAGGCGACGAAACCACTGAGCTAAATCCCTGGCCCTCTTTCTGGGTAGATGGAATCAGTGTTGTTTTAATTTGAATTTCTCTAATGGCCAGTGATGTTGAACATTCTTTCATGTGTTTACTGGCCATTTGCACTTCTGAGAAGTGTCTTTTTCAGTTGCCTATTTTTGATTGAGTCTTTAATTTTTTGGGGGGAGTCTAATTTTTTTGAGTTCCTTAATTATTCTAGATGTTAGTCCTCTGTCTTAGGAGAAGCAAAAATTTTTTCACTTCGTGTAGGTTGCCTCTTCCCCCTGTTGGTTGTTTACTTTGCTGTGGAGAAGCTTTTTATTTTGATATAATCCCACTTACTGCCGGGGATTTAGCTCAGTGGTTCCAGCGCCTGCCTCGCAAGCGCAAGGTCCCGAGTTCGATCCCCGGTACAAAAAAACACACAAACCACACCCACTTACTGATTGTTTTCTTTTTCTTTTGATACTGGGGATCAAACTTGGAACCTTGCAGGTGCCAGAACCACTGAGCTAAATCCCCAGCCCTCACTTACTGATTCTTGATGTTATTTCTCGTGTAATGGGATCCTGTTCAGGAAGTCCTTGCCTATGCCTATGTCTTCAAGAGTTTTACCTATTTTATCTTACAATGGATTAAGTGTTTCTGTTTTAGTATTTTGATCTTTGGTCCATTTTCATTTTAGTTTAGTATGTGGTGAGAGTTAGGGGTCTAGATTCAATCTTCTGCCTACGTATAGCCAGTTTCTCCAACACCATTTGTTGAAGAGGCTCTCTTTCCTCCAGAATGTTTTTGGCCCCTTTGTCAAAGATCAGATGGCTGATGGGTTTGTTTTTGCATCCTCTGTTCTGTTTTTTGTTTTGTTTTGTTTTATTTTTTTGGTACTGGGGATCGAACTCGGGACCTTGCACCTGCGAGGCAGGCGCTGGAACCACTGAGCTAAATCCCCGGCCCCAAAATCTGTTCTGTTCCATTGATCCGTGTGTCTGTTTTTGTACAGGTAGCATGTATTGGTTTAATGGCCTCTAGGCACCTAAAGGCAGCACAGGGTGAAAATTGACTAGCCTTCTTGGTCTCTGATGATAGAATGCTAGTAAAGATGTTTACAGCTTGGTTATATTTTGGAAGGGTGAGTAACTGAACATTTGCAGCTATGCATTTTCTTAACATTAATCTCAGTGTAAAAAATGAGGAATTTTTCTTTTTTTTTTGGTACTGGTGATCGAACTTGGGTCCTTGCACCTGCGAGGCAGGCGGCGGAACCACTGAGCTAAATCCCCGGCGAGGAGGGTTTTTTTTTACTGTAACATACTTAGCATTCAGAAATCCTCTACTGGCAAAGTCGAGTTGTTGCTGTGTAAGCTGTTTAACGTTAGGTCATTTGGAATTCTGAGCTACAGCAGAGTCAACTAAGGACTGTGGGAAAAAAGAGAGGGAGAGCGGACTACACAATTTTTTTTTTTTGTACCGGGGATCAAACTCAGGACCTTGCATTTGCCAGGCAGGCACAGCGCCACTGAGCTACATCCCTGGCCCAAGACTACACAATTATTAACTCCACTCTCGCTTTAATTTGCACAGTGAAGGACACGTGTATAATGTACCTTACAACATTTTATAATGGCAGAAGAAAGTCTTGTTTAAAATAGCCAGAGGAGGCTCCTGTGGTTTAAGGGGCTGTCAATATTCAGGTGTAAGAATGCAGATTAAATAAGATAAAAAGACAGACCTGGTACTTATCCTAAGTCTCTATTTATATTACTTTTTTTCTGTGTGCCATTTTGCTCTTTAACAATTTTATTTACTTAAAGATGGCTTATGTTCTTACTGGTAAATAATCTCAGTAGCTAAGAGTATAAAGAGGCTTAAGTATTAAACAGTGTCACTAAAGTTATTTCCCTTTCTCCTGGTTGTGCTGTGATAGTAATAGTGGTAGTGAGTTATAATACAGGTAGTAAGTAATCTAGTGCTCCTCTATTGCACTTACAGTGTGCCAGACAAAGTGCATTTTACATGTATCAACTTATTTAATCCTCACAACACCCCTGTGAGATAGCTCTTACTATCTCCATTTTACTGATGAGGGATTGAAGTGCAGAGAGGTTGGTAACTGATTATGAACAAGTAACTAGTCAGTGGCAGAGCTAGGAATTGATCTGAGGCAGCCTGGCGCCTACTAATCATAACACTGTGCTGTACTTACTTGACACCCATATAAGTAAAGGGAAACATGAGATAAAAATGCTTTTAACATCGTTGTGGGCTCTATGGAACTTATTATTTGTTCATTCAATGCTCTATGTAGAATCAGTGATTACAGAGAGAACATTTAATCCCAAAGCATTCATTCCTGTTTCCAAACTAGTATTTTCAGATCTGTTCTCCATCTGAGGCCTTGCATTTAGACAAAGTACACTTGAACTTTTTAGTTGAATTGTCAGATCTAGAGCTTACAGACAGGATGTTGCCATTGAATATTTAGACTGTATGTGCCGACCCCTTGAAGCAGTAATTTGGATAGATCATAATGTTTCCACCAGTGTACAGCAGTATTAGGGCTTCTGACTTGAAAGTGTATGTGTGTTTTATGTGTATCTTTGTAGATAGGCCATTTCTCCACAAAATAGAGCCAATCTTACATGAATTCTAAAAAGCTTTTAAGAGTCCTCTAAGAAATGTCTAAGCATTTTGAAGTAGAATTATGAGCAATGCAAAATGTTACCTTTCTGAAGACTTGTGATAAGTGAAATAAATAAAACAACCTGCTCACTTTTAAATGCTTAAAGTTCAGGCCGAGAAAACCTCCTTTTAATCTTGCAGAATTAGTTCTCACTTGGGCACAGATTTATATACTTTAAGTCTGGCTTATAAGTAATAGGTACTATTTAGTTTTTTAAAAGCCAGTGCTCTATTTCCTTCTTTCTGTGACTTAGGTTTTGTGAGCTGGCTGTGCTCACAGACCACATGGTAGACCTGGTGCTTTGGGTCAGACAAGTGTTTGGTTGGAGAGAGTCATGGAGGGAGGAATAGATCACATCATTTCTTACCTTTCAAGTATGCATTTTATGGAAGCAGATGACTTTCTCACATTACTTTTCTTTCCCCTAGGTCTACAAAGGACTAGACATTATTACCAACAAGGTTTCTGCCCAAGAGCAGAGAATCTGCCAGCACCACATGATGAGCTTTGTGGATCCTCTTGTGACCAATTACACGGTGGTGGACTTCAGGGACAAGGCAACTGCTCTGATATCCTTAAGGAAAGTCAGCAACTAGGCTTAGTAAGTGGCCTAACCTAAGAAAGAAGTTTTCTTTCTAGCAGCACTTTCTTTTAAACAGGGGCACCAATGACCTGTCTACCACTAGGTAGACACCGTGAGATCTATGTGGATTGCACGAGAGGGCTACTCCAGCCCTCAGCACCCCCTCAGACCTGTGGGTCCCACTCCAGACCTACTGACTTGGAATCTACAGTGTAACAAGAAGCCCAGGTGATTCTTGGGCACATTACAATTTGGGAAAAACTGTTTTAGTGATAAGCCCTAAAGCTACCTATTTTGACCCAGTGAATTTTGCTGGTTAAAAATTTACTTAGCCCCAATGAGCTTGTTTCTGGACCTTTCAATGAGTATATAAAATTAAGTTATAAATATAATGGAGTTACAGTTAAAATTTCAAAGGGATTGTTGGGTAGGAGAGGACTAGAAAAATAGCTTTGAATAAGACTAAGAAGATTTTGAAAAAAGAATAATACACAGAGGACTAGCTTTTTATATTTTAAAATCTAGCTTTCCTTTAACATCTAAACTGCCAGGGCCGGGGATTTAGCTCAGTGATTCTGCTGCCTGCCTTGCAAGCACAAGTTCCCAAGTTTGATCCCTGGTACCAAAAAAACCGAAACAAAACATCTAAACTGCCAGATAGTAAAACATTGGAAAGTTGTAGTGATTATAAATAGCATAGAATTTATACAAGAAGATATGGTCAAAAAAAAGACAGTGAATATTTAAAAAATGATTATAGTAAAAGACACGTTTGTTTCAAACCCATCATTCTTGCCATTTTCTGAAAGTCTGTTTTTGCGAGTGTTTTTGGTTGCTAGGTTGTGGCTGCCTCAATGTCCTGAATTGTTTCAAAACATTTGCCTTTCATGGTCATTTTTACTTTAGGAAAGAGCCAGAAATTGCACTGTGCCAGATCCAGTGGATAAGGAAGATGAGGATGCACCATAATGTTTTTATTTTTTGTTTTGTTTTTGAGATAAGGTCTTGCTATGTAGTTCAAGCTGACCTTGAACTCACTGTGTAGCCCAGGCTGGCCTGGAACTTGAAGCAATCTTCCTGCCTCAGACTCCTGTGTACTAGGATCACAGGTGTGTGCCACTACATCTGGCTTCATGATTTATATATATATGTGATATATTGATGATTTATATGTGTGTGTGTGTGTGTGTGTGTGT